GTTCCAAGCTGGCAGGGGCCCAGCTCTAGGAGAGTCAGGAGGGTCCTGCCCCAGCCAGGAAGCTCTGGGAAGTGCACCCACCCCACAGACAGACACTCCTCCCTTCCTGCAAGTGCTCCCAGCTTTTATCCCCCAGCACACACCTGACCTTTAGTTACTTCATGTGGGACCCCTGGGGCTCATTTCCCTTATGGTTCTCCCTGCAGGGCTGGCCACACCCTGGGGGGGAGCTATAAGGCAAACTCAGCACCTCTTCATGAAGGGCTGTGGGAATCACCCATATGTCAACCTTAATTCAGGGCTTGGGGGTCAAACCCCAGCATTTCAGAGCTCCATCTTGCCAGGGATGTGCCCTCTACACTCAGAAACACAGCACTTGACACACACAGAGCAATAGCAAAGAGGAGCCAGCAGCAGTTCAGTGGTCAAGACCTCAGATAATTCATCTTCTAAGTGAAGAGGATGGTACTTTTCACTTCTCTTGCAGAAGATGATTTTTAGTTTGCTCCTTTACACCCTTGCCACTGCCCTGGCCCTCAGGGGAGCTGCCAGCTTGCAGCAGGGCTGCGGGAACCTCACTTTTCCCCAGCACTGACATCTCCTGTGGAGCATCTTTTGCAGGGGAGGGGAAAGGGGCAATCCTCAGCAGAGGGAGTGAATCAGCTCCCCAGAGGAGCTCAGGGCACTGTGCCTGAGTGGTCCAGCAAGCAGGACCTGCAAGGGCAGACACCAGCTCTGGCACGTGCTTAGCAGCAGGGACGGGGCCAGCAGCATTGCCTGTGCTGGCACTGGGGCCTGCTTGGGGGAGCTGGAGGCACTGGAAACGTTCTCCCTCTCCCTTCCCAGCACAGACCTGCTCTTGTCTGTTTTGTGGTGGCTGCAGGGCGCAGTGGAGGAAGGAGTGGGGCTGAGCTCTGCCATCACCACGGCTCTGCTGCACGCCGGGGTGCCACGCTCCGTGAGTACGGCCAGGGGCACGGGCAGTGCTGGGGCACCCCAGCTCTGCTGGCACTGCCCCCCTGCCCTCGCCTGCCCCACTGCCCCCCTGCCCCCAGGGACACGGCACCAGCGTCACCCCGTGCCTCCTGTCCCTGCCCCACCCTCCCCTGCACCCCTCCCACCCTGCCAGCCACCCGCCTGCTCTCGATCCTGCCCTAGGACCCCGTGGTCTCCAAAGCTCTGAGGTGTATCAAGGACCTGGTCGATGCTGACACTGGCAGTTCCAGCCTCTACAGCCTGGCACTGGCTGCAAATGCCTTTGCAGCAGCAGGTGATAAGGCCCTCAGGGAGAAGATCCTCAAAAGGCTGGATAAGGCTGCCATAGTATCAGGTACCATTGGCAGAGTTACGTGGAGATCCCAGGGCTGAATGTCCAGGGGAATGGAGGGCAGGAGTGGGGGGCACTGGCAGATCTCTGTGGGGAGCCCAAGGCTTGGAGAGCCCCTGATTGCCATACTGTGAGACAGACTTTATGGATGATCTCACAGTCCTGATGTCCCAGTCATCCAAACCAGGGGAGTTCATGGATGTTTTAGAACTCCTTCCCAGTCTGCAGGACTAGGTTTCTACTGGGAAAAGGAGGGTGTGGGGGCAAGTAGAGAAAAAATCACCCATATCCTGTCCCCATCTACACATTCACTCAGTACCTGGGTGCAGGAGCTGAGGGGGACTTCGAGGTCATTAGATACAGCTACATTCTCCATAAGTGTTCCCCCACCACCTCCAGGTGACCAAATATTCTGGAGTCAACAGGCAAAACAGGAGGAGGACTCCCTACACTGGCAACGGGCTCCATCTGTTGATGTGGAATTGACATCTAGCATCCTCATGGCTCACCTTTCAAAATCAAGTTTGTCTTCAGAGGAAATCAGAAAGGCATCCCAGATTGTGTCCTGGCTTATCAAGCAGCAAAACCCTTATGGAGGCTTTGCTTCCACCCAGGTAATCCCTTTGAGTCATCATCACCAGAGAACCTTTGTCAGCTATGTGTTGGGAGAGCAACAACTTCCAGCACAGACCATAGTGAAAAAGGGGGGGGGAAAGAGAAGATAGAAGAAGAAAAGATGTATGGATTTAGAGCTGCTGAGAGTTGGGTCAAGGTGAATACTTGTATTGCTCTGAGCTAATCCCGTGCTCAAAGTCCAAGGGGGAAGCTCAACCTTCACTGTGCTGTGGCTGCCATGAGGGAGGGGGGGGCTGGGAGTGGGATGTGCACAGGAAGCTGGGATCCTGTTTTGCTCAAGGTGTTTCTCTTCCCTCAGGACACGGTGGTTGCTCTGGAAGCCCTAGCCCTCTATGCAACCAAACTCTTCAGCAAGGATGGCCTCGATCTTCAGGCTTCTCTCTCCTCTGAAGGTTTCACCCAAAACATCAGAGTGGACAACAGCAATCGCCTCCTGCTGCAGAGAGTAGAGCTGCCAGCCCTTCCCCAGGAGTACTCCGTGCGAGTGCAGGGCCACGGGTGCCTCTTCCTGCAGGTGAGCCCAGCCAGGGACAAAAGGTCTGTCTGGAAAAGCCCTGAGAGCAGGAGACCTCCCACCTTGGCACGTAGCTGGCACTGAAAACAGACAGCTATGGTAACTTGCAGCAATCTGGGCTACAAGACTGGTAGAAAGAGCTGGGATCCAACAGGAAGGGAGCAGCAGTTCCCCAAGTGAAATCTTGATCATCTGCACCCTGTTGCAACAATCTGGGCTGCAAGACTGGTAGAAAGAGCTGGGATCCAACAGGAAGGGAGCAGCAGTTCCCCAAGTGAAATCTTGATCATCTGCACCCTGTCATAGCTGCACCTCTCCTCCAAGAAGTCCAGTGAACACAACAAGGAGCAGGGCTGGAGCCTCTGCTTCTGCCACATGGTTTTCTCTCACAACATGAGAAGCTCTTGCATGGTGCAAGAGTGCAATCAGCAGTCCAATGCTGGACAAGGGTGGGAGGTGATTCTCCCCCTCTGCTCCACTCTCGTGAGGCCCCACCTGGAGTACTGCATCCAGGTCTGGAGCCCCCACTACAAGAAAGATATGGAAGTGCTGGAATGTGTCCAGAGAAGGGCCACAAGGATGAT